CGAGTTTAGTGAAGCATTGTTTTCCCTTCTCCCGGTCCATGATGTCGGATATTAGAGGTAACGGGTAGGCATCCTTCACTGTCCATTCATTGAGATATCTGTAGTCTTGGCATGGGCGTTTCTTTCCATCTTTCTTTGGCACGAAAAACATGGGTGATGCCATTGGTGATTTTGAGTGACTGATATATCCCTTTGACAGGTTTTCTTCAATGAATTTCGTGAGTTCTTCCTCCTTGGCCGGCGTGAGATTGTAGATGGGAAACGATTTGGGTTTGAAGCCTTCCTTGAGGTTGATCGCATGATCCCACTCTTTCCTTTCTGGGAAACGGTTTGATGCTTTTTCCGAAAAGACACTTAAGAATTCATGAAAAGCATGGGGAATTTTGAGTTTGAGATCCTCTTCAAGAGGTGGTTCATAGTCAGTATCTTTTTCTTCAGTGCTGGTCACGTTGACCCATTTCTCGTTGATTTCTTTTGTGGCTTTTCCTTCGATGAAGGGGAGGAGAAGGTCTTGGTCGTCTTGCTCCATGGTCGGAGATATAGTGTTTCTCCATTTGACCTCTCCTCGTTTCCAATTGATATCGGGGTTCTCGTTCTGTAACCACAGCATCCCGAAGATAAAGTCCCACTTTCCTAAACCTGTGACATAGATAGTGTATCTTTGTAGTCGTCCATTGATGTTGATGGTAGGTTCAACTGTCTGTGAGATGGTTCCTTGTTTGTTTGCAGTTCCATCTACATTTCGGACTTTGATGGGATTTTTGAGTGTTTTTGTAGGGATCTTATATTTGTCGACCATCCGGTGGTGGATAAATAGATCATCTGCTCCGCTGTCTATTAGGACCGTTGTGTCAATGCCACTATTGGGTATTTCAATTGGTAAGACGATCGATTGTTTGTTTCGGGTGGTGATCGTCGCCGTTCCAATTGACAGTTCGGGGACGATCTCCATCGACCTTAAGATGTCCCCTATGAAAAATCCTCCTCGGATCCTTCGCCCTTTGTTGTGGCCCGAATGTTTGAGCTCCCCGAGCCAGGGTGTTTGGGGCAAGCTTGTGTCGTGTGTCCTAGCTGTCGACATATCCCATTTGGGCTTTTGGACAGGTTCGCGCCGGATGTCCCTTTTCCTTGCAGATGAAGCATTTTCCATTTCTGTGTGCTGGATGATTGCTTTGTTGGGATGGCATCAACATCCATGGCATCAGGGTCTTTCTCTTCCCTCTTCGCTGTTTGTGGGGCGTCTCTGTAGACCACCTTGACCTTCTGTTGTGGCTCGCTGCGATATTCCCGTGCTGTTCGCCATTCCCTATCCACTTCCATGGCTGCGTCCTTCCATTCTTGGAGAGTGGGTGGAACTTTCTTTTGTTCTGCGGGTCTGGCAGCGAATTGGGTGGCGACTCTTAGTCAGAGTTCGGGGTTTACCCCAGCCTTTTACTTATCCGGTAGCTTCTGCGTAGCTGTTGAACATTCCTGTGTACCAATCACAAGTATTCTTTCCCATGTGAAGTTGCTTGAGTTGCTTCTTTGCGGTTTCCTTGTTTGGGAGTAGGCAGAAGTATTTTCGGAACTGATTGATGAAGTCGTCCCATGATTGGTAGTACCCTTCCGGATCTGTGAAGGTTGGGTCTGTCTTCTGGGCTTCTTTCGCCTCGAGCCACTTTTTCTTATATTCGGTCGTCTTCCTGTATTCGATGGATGCCCAATTTCGGGTTTTGTCTTTCTCTGTTTCGTTCACTAGTGCGACGATGTATCGTATTCTTGCAGTAGCTTCATACTCATTTTTGCTATCCAGGTATGTTTCTACCGCTTGGATGAAGGTTTCAACATCTTCTGCTTTTCCAGAGAATTTGGGGGGTTTAGGAATATCCAACTTCGGTTTGGATTCTTCCCTTGCTTTTCGGGCTTTTTCCGGAGTAAGGAAGTCGTCATACTTCTCTAGCATCGCTTCTAAGCCGGTTGCCACTTTCGTGGTGCCATCATTGATTCCTTCAACATGTGGTGCGGTTTTCGTGAGGGTTTCGCTGATCGTGATAATGGCTTTATTGGCTAGCCCCCAGATTTGATATAGGATTGCTCCTACTCCTATCAGGAAGACTATGGTGTGGACTTCGGATAGTTTGTCCGTGAGTCCATCGGCTAGGACGGGTGAAGATGCTAATCCTGAGAGTTGTTCGATAGTCTGCCAGGCAGACTGAAACATTTGTTCGGCCATGGCTAGTCGTTATAGCGGGCCTTGGAGGTTTGAGACTTCGTTCTTCTGTTAAGGACTATACGTGATACAAGCACGTGTCGTCCAATGCTCAGCGACTTTGTGGTCGATGGATCAACTCATGACTACGTCAAGGGTTCTTCGCCTGTAGCTTTGTGACCTCGGGCTAGACTTTGAGCGATAATAAGAGATGTTTGTATTTGCACTGAGACTTGTAATAGACTTGTTGAACAATTAAGAACGAAGTGAGGAAACTAACTAAGAAACTAGAGTCTTTATATACTAGAAGACGTGTGTTAACCATGAGGCGTAGTCCTCATGGATAACATGCGTGTTCCGCGGAATGTATGTAGGTTTCAATGTGTTTTTAATGAGTATCAGTCAGCAATCAGCAATGCGCAGTAAATATGAGTAAGAGTATGAGTTGAAATGAAAAACATAAGGTGGAGGTGAGGCGAGTATAGTAATACGGTATAGTAAGCATATATGTTCGTAACAAAAACTGAGGTGTGCCTCTCAGCACTGCCTGCAAAAGTACTTGTCCTTAAGATTCACAATCTCTATACACTTGTTAATCGTTCAGTACCATTTTCCTGCTTACTTCTATCGAGATAGCTAAGAAAATGGGAGAACACTGACCAGTGTCCAGCTAGCACGTGACATACTGTACGTGAAGAACAAGGGTGAAACAATAACACGGTGTCACAAGGCAGTGCAAGAAGAGAAGAACAATAAGAAGTAGCGCAAAGGATGAAACAAGGCAGTGTTCCATGAGAAAGATAAGGAAGGCGATAAGGAAAGCTGAAGTGATAACATAAGATAATGAAAAATAGGGGTCTGTACGCGATGTTCACGATACTGCTCATCCTGAAGGAAAGTCTGAACAATATCAAGAACCACATATTTGAGTATAGGTTCCAGAAGCACCAAGATTGTAAATGTACTCTCAATTGGCATTGAATGAGAGAGGGAACCCGCACCCATGATGCCTTGGTAAGTCTTGAATGTGTGAGGAGAGACACTCAGAAAGAAGACCTGGACCTTGAATGTTTGATAGAGGCACTGAGAGAACTGGGCTGTATTATCGACTCTGGTAACAAGGTGGACCAGCTTGTGTCTCAGCCAAGGGTGATGTGAGTGGCTGGTGAGGCTAGAACCAAGGTCAAAACAGCTTTTGGAACTATTAGAAAATATACAGACTGGTAAAAGCTGCTGAATGCTCATTCCTGACCAAATTGACCTATAAAGCTGTCAAAAAAAGTGTGGGCCAGCCCCATCGGAAAATTGAGCACACTGCTCCAACAAACTCGTCTGTATCCACAACTGAAGCATTAAATGAGGGAAGGCAAATATTCTGCTGTGACCTTCCAGATGTCAGAGGAAAGACGTAGTCCCTTAGGACCTGAGTGTCTGGAAATGTTTTGGGAAGTTTTGAAGTGAGATCCAGATGGCAAGAACGAAGAAGTGAGGATTCATTTGTTGAAAGCTCTTGGAAAAGGTGTTTATGCCATATACCAAGGTCCAGAGCTGATTGAGTTTCTCCTCCATCCAGGGTAAGTGTGTTAGAATTTGTGACTTTGGCACTTCTACATGGCCAATTCCCTCCATGTTTAGTATCATTCGAACCAGCTTTTTACGCTCTTTCTAATGGTATCCAGGGGACGGAAATCCATCCACTGGTTACAGAGATATTGACATTTTATTTTTGTTTTACCAATATCTCCAAAGCCAAGCCTGGATTGCTTGGCTTCAACCTTGCATGTGTTTACAGGTATGCGGAGCTTTGCCTCCCGACATTTTAGCATCCACAATTGGCAGCATCATTCTGGAGTCCCTCAATTCTTTCCCCTCACTGCTAGACTCCAGCTCGCTGTTTTAACAGGTTATGAGCCCCAGGCTCCTTCTAGCCACCTCCTGAACAGTCAACTGTATACTGCCAGCAGTTGTTTTGCAAGTACTCGTCTCCCAGATCCCAGAGATCCCTCCTCTCCACTCCAGCTCGATGCTGACTTCAATTGGATTGCAGACACAGGTGCCACTTCTGTCGGGAGATCCAGGGTCCCAGCGGTCACGTGACTCTTGGACCGTCGTCCTTTGATGGTCCCAGGCAACGCTCGGCACGGTGCTGAGCATTTACCTCTGTGGGTATAAGATAGCTATGGGAGTTGTCAGTAGTTGTTAGGTGGGAGGAATATGACAGTGTGATATTCCTCCACCAAGGTGGTTGTCTGAGGTATCTGGAGTATTAGCTGTGTCAGAGGAAACCAAACTCAGGCTAGGTCCGAGTTTGGGGAGTTGCGGGGGTCTGCGGCTTTGCCGGCGCGATGGGCGTCACGAGAAGATCACGTGACCCAAAGGCCATGTGCCCAAACGGTGAAGTCCGATCGGCGAGGAATCGGCCAATCGGGGAGTTGGAAACCGTAGGCAAAGTCCGCAGGTCCAGAATGTCTGGACAGCCAGTCCGGAGCGATGGGAAATCCGAGCCAGCCAGCCATGCCGTCTCGAGCTATAAGCTCTTAACTGGCAGGCTGGGGAGGTAAGAGCAAGCCGGACTGACACCCCCAACTGAGAGCGTATAGCTCGGGAGGAAGAAGGGGACCAGATGAACAGGGAACATCTATATTAGGAACACAGTCAGTTAAGGTAGGGTGATGCAAAGGTATTGTACAGTGGGTATTGGAGTCGTAATGCTATGGGTGGTCTATGATGAATGCAGCAGAGGGAAAAGAAACATGCGGAGAGCGAGTAGCAGAAGCGAATAATCGATACAGATAAGTTATGACGTGGCGTGCTAGTCTTCGAGGCATGATGCGGGCAGCTTGTTGTGAGCGCGATATCGTTCAAATATTTTTGCGAGGTCCTTGAGAGCGTTCTTGCGGTAAGCGTTTGCGGTGCTGAGAGGGACAATCTCCTCTATCCTCCTCCAATAGGTGAGGAAGGCCAGCGAAGTCCAACCTCCCGTGGTGGCCACCACCTGTGCAGGCACGCCAGCGAGCAGGAGAGCCACTGTTCCTCCGATGCAGAAACCATGCCCGTAAACCTCGGCGAACCCGTTGTCGCGCCAGAAACCATTGACAAACCGAAGGAAGGAGGGCTTCGAGGTATGGATCCATTCGGAGCCCGCACGGTAGGCGAACAGGGAGGTGGTGGAGGGTGCGTTGGCGTTGACCTGAAGGTGGTTTCGGAGGGCTGAGACTGGACAGAGGTCGTCATCTCGGGAGGTGAGGATAATGCGGCCTCCCTTCTCCCGGGTGGTCTTCGTCCAAGGGATGGTGATGATGGCTGATTCGATACCATCTGACAGATCATTGAAGGAGACGGTGGTGGAACGGGAAGCGTGGGTGGTGGGGTCAAATTTGGTTTGGGAAGGGACCGTGGTCTCGCCCAGTCGGCGGCATCCAAAAAAGGTGGCCGCTGCTACAGCCCATATAGCCGCATGCTGGGGATTGGACATATCAAGAGAATTCTGGTTGGTCAGGGGTTAGCATTTGTGGTAAGATAGAAAGGTTGGGGCGTACTCGGAGCGCACGAAGTTGTTCGATGGAGACAGCCGGCCTAGGCGGCTTTTTTAGGTGGACGCCATCCTTTGCGGCAGTGCGGAGGGCGAGGTTGACCCATTCGTCACGACCGTGCCATCCAGCATGGTGGTACTGATGCCACATACGGACACCCATGACCCAGTTCTTGATCGTGGAATGCGCGAACGAGCCCGAGGCTTCCGCAACAAATCCTGCAAGCAAGACGTAAGAAGCAGGCATCCTCGAGTCCTCCGGTATATCCCAACGATCACAAAACTGCTGGTACCGGAGGAGGCCGGCGGCATAAGTGGATTGGGTGCTGGGAGCGAGCGAGCGCTCGACAGACGACATGGCGATGTCAACAAGGTCGGGTGGGATGATATCTTCGTGGTGTTTGCGGTTGGCGATGCTGAAGGGGGACTCCCACTCGTACAGGCGTCGTTTCGCCGGACAAGGTGGGCGGAGGCTGCTCGGTGTGATCTCGCTCCCCTTTCTCGGTTTTCGTTGTTTCGGGTATAGCTCAGATGACGTGGCAAGGCGAAATGTGGATTTTGGGAGACTTGGAACAAAGGCGGGCTCGTGTATAGGTCTCTGCGAGGTCAAGGCGACAGGTTTCGATGTGGGTTTGAGGTCGTAGATGGTGGCGGGGGAAGGCGATGGGGCACAGGAGAACCGAATTGGTCTCGAGCGAGGTGGCTGTTTAAGCCGTCCGTCGCTAGAGGCGAACATACTGAATCGCGCTGCTGAGGTCGTGTGGCAAGGAGGGCTCGAGGTTGATGTGGGACGTGGGAGGGAAAGAGCCCCGTGAGATGGGATCAGCTGGGTTCTCCTCCGATCTCACGTACGTGAGAGTGTGAGAAATACCAAGAGACAGCAGAACATCGTATGTTCGGCGCACACTGGCGTTGATGTGGTGGTTAGGGCTGCGACCTTTTGTCATCGCTCCGATGGTACCTTGGTTGTCCGAGTGGATGAGGAGATGGCAGTCCTGCCAGCCCAACAGCTGGATGAAGTATACCAAGAGTTCAATGGCCACCGTTTCCAGCCAACCAATGTCCCTGCCTTTGACTTTCCAACTATCGCGAAGGCGGTAAGCAGCCCAGCGGCCGCCGACAGAAATGCCGATACCCCACGAAGTTGAAGCGTCGACGTAGAGGCCGAGATCTTGTGGAGGCCCCCGATGTCTGATGGAACGAGGTTTGGCAGGCGTGGAAAGGCGGTCTCGCCACCAGCGCAGGTCCCGGATGACGGGATCAGGGAGGAAACGCTTGGCAAGGTAGCTCTCCTTGAACGAGGTTGCAAAGTTGGAAAGTGCCGCAAGTCGAGAGCGACCCTCGATGTGAACGAAGGCAACATGACAGAGAGATCCGTGGATCTTCTCGACGTCCTTCAGGGTGCACGACTGGTGACCCTCGAAGTTGTCGAGGAAACGCCGAGTCCGTTCCCGGAACTTCAAGCGTTTGTCGTCTGGCAGGCTGACCTCCTTCCTCTCGAGGTCCCATAGGAAGCCGATGTACTGGAAGATGGTCCAATAGATGCCGTCGCCTTTATCGGGGTGCCAAGGTACCTTCAGCAAACCGATACGACTAAGCGCCTCTGGCCCGTCGTAATCGTATGCGTAGTCTCCCTCGACGAAAGTTCCCGTAAGCGACGGGCATCGCAACGAGCCGTAGTCATCCTCGTACTTCAGGGTCGGCTCCACACCTTCCCCAGCCCATACGTCGACGACGGTGTTACCGACCATCCCCGCAATGCTGCTCGCACTGTGGGTTCCAAAGGGAATACAGTGGTCAATATAAAATTGACCCCTCTTCCCTTGGATGACGAGCCAAGGCTTGTGGGAAGGGTGGGCAGGGCAAGTCCGGTGAAACTTGGCAATGTCGGGGTGGTATCCACTTGAAAAATCTCTTTTTTACGGTAATTACCGTGTTTTAGAAATGTCCGTTACCGTAGGTAAGTAATTCCTCGGTAATACCGAGCGATATTTATTTTTCCGGTAATTACCGAGCGAAAGATTTCGCTCGGTAATTACCGCACGATTTCGCCTGCGGCGAAATCGTGCTGTGAACCCAAACACTAACAAACACTAAACCAAACCCTAAGGACCCTAAACCAAACCCTAACAAACAAACCCTAACAAACCTAACCCTAAATTACTATTGAACGTAACGTAAAATAAATATATACCCTGATCCCTAACCCTAACCGAACCCTAACCGAAACCCAACCCTAAACCAAACCCTAACCAACCCTAAACCTAACCCAAACCCTAACGGGCACCCCGGGTGCACGCTAATCTTATCAGATGTCGCCCCGAGAGGCCATAATAAAATAAGAGTAGACATATAACTTTTAAAATGTGGCTTTTTGATACATAATCAATCCCATCAATAATTTCGCATTCCGATCGATTAGAAACCGATGCTCCGGCATTACCGAAGCATAAAAAAGGCTTCCGGTATTACCGAGAGGCAACTGTCGCCCGGTATTACTGAAAAAAAGCGATTTTCTCGGTAATACCGTAAATATCATTATTTACGGTATTACCGAGGGTATATAGCATGGTAAAAGTTGCCGGGGCATTTTTCCGGCAACAGACATTTCTAAAACGCGGTAATTACCGTAAAAAAGAGATTTTTCGGCTGGATACTAGTGAATGTCGAACGTGGTGGCTTGTGTGCCGGGGGGTGCAGCGGAGACCTGCAGTAGGATTTAATTAGCGCAGTCCTCATGACAGAGGGACCGGCGTTGGCTACCGCGCATGGCCATGATGTCTGGATGCGGGAACTGTTTCGCCCATGGAATGGCCGCAGACGCGGATGCCAAGGGGTGCGAGGTATGGCCGCCGTTGATGTGCTGGCTAGCACAGAAAGCACAAAGAAGAGCAAGAAAACAACCGACGGTCCCGAATCGAGTGGAACTTGTTGTGAGACAAGTGACGCGAAGATGAAGACCGACGGCCAAATCTAAAGACTTTTAAGTACTGTCTGTACGTTGGCACGCAAGTTCGATGGGGTTGTTGTTTTTAGTAGACTAAGTTAACGAGGAGAAGACTCTGACTTGTATAGAACGGTTTTTAGGGTTTTTAGAGCTTTGAAAAGGCTCCTGACTTTATGCGGATGGTGTTTTGTATTTTGTTGTGCTCTACACACAAGGGAAACACTAAGTTCGACTCGCGACTCGGCTTAAACACGACTTAGACTCGAAACTCAAATTTGAACTCGAAAACACTTAAACTCGTCCCGGCGGGATCACTCGTTGACTCGTTTTTAAACTCGGACTCGTGTATTCACGCGCAAACTCTAACTCGACTCTAACTCGCTAACTTGTTAACTCGACACTCGGAGAATTCCTCTTTATTTTACTGAACGACTTGTGCCGATCAGGACAAGATATACAATCGAGTCAAAGGGGTATCTGTTGATTCTCTTGCCCGGCGGGCCTATATATATGGTACAAAATGTTTGACTACGAGCTTTAAAACAAAGACTAGCAAAGACTATAAAACAAACCGAATACGTGCGCATGATACAGACGATGAGAGTAGAGAGACGGAGCGGAGGTACGAGAGAATCAGAAATACGAAATAGGAAGGAAACGCGACAAAAGAAGCCCCGGCGGTGTCGTGCCGAGTATGCCCATAGGCGTCTATTGATGCGCTGTTGAAGCGCGTGAATTTTGGTAGTTCCGTCCCGTCGGAACGGAACCAATGTGTGGTGGGAAACTCCATTGTTACTCCGTGAAGATGCTTCCGCGGAAACAGATGGTATACCCTTTTGTAACCACCGCCGGAGGGCAGCGTATGGACTCATCGTTCTGTCCCTTCTCTCTGTACTACTTCTTTTCTGTTGACAGGTCATGGGACTGTTAGTACCCTGTTTCATCTGTCCTAGAGAGGACACCTGTCCAACGGAATAGAACATCTCGTGTGATCCGTTCCTGGTCCCGTCGTTCTGGTTATCTTATCTCGGCTTCTATCTTATCGATCTCGTGCCTAATCCGTAGAGGTCCCCTTAGCTTTCCGCGACTGATGGCTGATTCCGACCGCCCGGCGGCGCTTATGGGCGTTTCCTCTTAGGGTACTGACAGGCGCTGGTGCTAAGTGTCATCGTTCTTGTTAAGTCGCTACTAACTTTCTAGTCGATTTGAAGTCGATCGTGCACTCCCATGGATAGTCTTGCTCCCGGCGGTGAGGACTTCGTGCCAAATTCTCACTACCGTAGTTCGATCTTCAATCGGTCCAGTACACATCCTTAACCCGTCAATTAATACAGTATCAACGATGTGTTACGTTCAACCTCTTTCAGAGTCGTTCTTAGAGTTCGACTTAGTTGACGACTCTGGGCTCGGTCTCAACTCATACGACAGAATAAGTGACCTGCCGGTTATGAAAAACACAGTGCCTTAGGGCTTTTCAGTCACTTATCGAGATGTACGTTTTACCGGACGAAATTAGTCCGGCGGTGTGTTATTCGCGATTTTTGAAGGGTCAGACGACCCTCAGGCGTAACACCGTGGGAGACGGATACTCGCTGGATGTTCGAGCAACCGGGCATGGCCAGCGCGTGGTAGACAACGCCGGATACCGGGAACTATTAAGGGAAACTCACCACGTCTGCAACGTGCATGGCCGTGTCAAAGCGTGTAGGGAAGTGATCCTTGGCGATGTAGGAGTTGACGGAAGAGGTGAATTTGTTCTCCTTGGAGAGGTGGCGGCAGACCCGTTTCTTGTCAGGGACACCAGGCTGCTGAGGCTGGGAGGACACGATCAACGGCGAGACGAAAAACGCGCCCCCCAGACATTCCTCAACTTCTTCCCTAGTGAACGGGCCACTCATCCTTCCTGCCTCCACTTCCCCTTGAATATACACCTCAACCTCATCCATATTCTCCTCGCAGCTGCTGTGGTTTTCGAAAATGACGGTCTCAGTGAGTTCGGGCATGCGACCGATAGGGAAGCCTTCCCGGAGGTGTTTGGTGAGGTTGGGGTATCGGTCGGTGAGTTCGTGTTTTTGTAGGAGTTCATCAAAGGCGTCGGGGTCGTAAGGTGTCGTGATGCGATGGAAGACCTCTTGGAGCTGGGGGGATGCGGAAGATGAGGGTGATCGGGGGTGGATAAACTCGGAGAGGTCGGGGTAGGTGAGGACGTCTGGCGTTGCGAAGGCCAGGAAGTCCTCAATGGTCATTGGGGACGGGGGGTTTGGCCTTGCAGGTCCAGGCGAAGGCGTGGTGGGAGGAGCTGCCGCAGAAGGAGCAGACGTGGAGGCGCTCGTCTGCGGGGTGGGCACACTTCTTGGGGTGCTCGGGCCCTCGGGTGTTCCAGTTGATGCAAATCTCCTTGTCGTCGGCTGGGCGGGCAATGGAGCGCCCATTACGCTTGGCCCAGACTCCACCGCCGTGCTTGTCCTCGTGGGTCTGGGCGGTATGGCCTCTCTTGGCGCAGAGGACGCAGCAGAGCCTGTCGGGGTCCTGAAAGGGCGGGAGGCGCTCGATCCCTCCTCCCGAAAGGACCAGTCATCATTCCTCCTCGAGGAACTCCCCGCTGAGCGCTCCAACTTCCTTCGGAGCTCGTCGATCTCCACCCTGCTCTTGGCCAAGGCCTCATGCGTGGTGATCACATGCTGCCACATGTTCTCGTACTGGATGGCATTGAAAGCTGTCCTCCTCGAACGACGTTCCAGCCTGAACTCCTCCTCCTTTGTCACCCAGGTATCGAAGTACTTGCGTCGGTCGTACTGGGAGGAGAAGAAGCCGAAATGTTTCGCATAGAAATCGGCGTTGAGCGGGGTGTCATCCGGGTCGTGCAGCGCCTGCGCCCAGGCATAGTTATCTGCGGCATCTTGCCATTGGGTGATGTCAGCAGCGCGATCGGGGACGTCGAGGATGGGGTAGAGGTTGGGAGCGTCCTTCCTGATCTTGTGGACATCCAGGATATAGATCCTGAACTCGTCTCCATCGACGTCGCCTTTGTAAGCGATGGGAGGGGGAAGGGACAAGATGTTTTCGCAAAGCCACTTGAGGCGGTGAGACTCGAACCAGAGGAAAGGGAGGGGTGTTTGGAAGTCTGTGAGGACAAGAATGGCCGGGATCTTCGCATGATCCTGCGCACCTGGGGTCCACTCCGTCTCGTCCTCCGGTCGAAGCTTCGTAGTGTACGCCTTCTTCGCCGGCCTGGGCGACTCGTCGTCCGTGGCCTTCCTCTTGGCCTCTGCACTCTTGAGATGGAAAGGAGCCAGCATGTCCGCAAAGCGGATAGCGCACACGTCCTTGAACCTCTCGAAGAACGACGGGTTCTTGAGAAGGTCAATCTCGGCCTCGGTGATCGTGACGTCGGAGGCGCGGCTGGGACTCCTGAAATCCTTCTCCTCGTTCTCCTCCTCGATGCTCTTGTTCATCTTGAGCCGATCTCGGAGAGATAGGCTTTTAAGCCGTTCTATGACGTCTGGAGAGGAGTGTGTCAGCTTTTTCCGAGCAGGGGAAGGAGCCTCTCCGGGCATGATGAGATAAGGGAGAGAAAATTTTAAACTCGAGTATTAGGTTCTTTTCTTTCGGGAATTGGAGAGAGTGTGTATTAAGAGAGAGGGGAAGTACACCGGTGGTAAGAGAGTGACAAAAAAATGAGAGGAACCCGGCAATCGCAGGCCAGGCAAACGAGGAGAGCGATAAAGAGGCACTGTAGTGCCAGCTCTCGCGTTCTGTGGACTGATTTGGACTCCGATGTCCAAATCAGTGGCTGGTGATTGC